TCCAGATCCGTTTTTGTCAGCAGGACCCGGATCCGTCGGGTCCAAAATTTGAAGACCCAAAAACGAATCTGGATCCACGGATCCGGGTCGGGTCCAGATCTATTGCCATCCCTAGTTATAATACCTCCGTTAACATTTAGTTGCAACTTTGTGGTATTATTTGAGAGACATAAAATATTCTAAAGTTGCAACTAAATGTTAACGGATGTAGTATATGATTTTCTTAATTCTAATGAATTATATTTTATCTGATTTTCTGCATTTTTTTTTACCAATGAACAAAATCATGCAAAATATGAACATATGCATAGGTTCCCTTAAATGTGAACATTAGCTATTCAAAAAGTGAACATAGGCATAAAAATTATGAACTTATGCATTTTAGAAAGTGAACATAACATTTCAAAATATGAACGTAAGCATTGGTTTTCTTAAAGTGAATATAAACATTTAAAAGGTGAACATATACGTTAAAAAAATATGAACATTAACATTTAAGAAAGACAACGTATGAACAACACAGATTTACATTATGAATATTTGAAATTATAGATGAACATATAAAATATTATTATGAATATAATACATTTAATTATGAACATAAAATTTGAAGAAATAAAAAACAATATGATTATGAAACATATGCATTATAAGTATTAAATGCTCATTTTTACGTGTTCATTTTTTTTCATGTTCATATTTTTTTTACTAAATGTTCATTTTGTAGAGCGTAGTGTTGATTTTGACGAATCGCGGATATGCTATCTGGGTTATTAGTTTGGGCCGCGCGTTTTGGGTCTTCCCTTGTTGCACCTATCTTAGATGCATCCTAAGACCATAGGCTTTGCTATAGCTAGAGGAGTGGGGGTCCAGATTGTATCTTGGCTTGCCACTAATTTATTGTCGGTGTCTTTCCTCCGGATATTGGTCGTCATGTGTATGGTGTTAAGTTGTTGGGTGGTCCTATCAGTGATGATTCCTCTTTTTTGTGGTGACCTTGTTTCACAGAGAGTGTCGAAGACCATTGTGCTTATGGATGCTGTTGCTAAGCTCGATGATCCCCAATGCAAGTTGTTGCTTCTTCGCGCGTGTACTGGGGTTTCAAAACTCTACTTTGCTATGTGCACTTGTCCTCCTCGTCTTTTTGAAACGGCATAGAGTTCATTTGACGTGGCCCTTCGAGCTTCTTTGGAGTGCATTGTAACTGCTTCGAGGCCTGGTTTTGGTGATTGGCAATGGCGACTTGCCACCTTACTATTTTCTTATGGTGGTTTTGGTGTCTATTCGGCGGGTGATGTTCGGCATTATGCTTTCCTAGCGTCGCGTCTCCCTTTTGGTCTTCAGGTTACGCTTCTTCGCGATTCTGGTATTGTTGGTCCGGGACCGGCCTTTGATGATGCCCTAAGTCTTTTTAACAGGACTGTTGTAATCCCCCATATTTTTAAATATATTATAAATAAAATTATATATTATTTATAATATTTATTTGTATTTTTCTGGAATTTAATTTCAAAAGTTTCAATTTTTAATTTTGGGTCGAAAATTATTTTGGTACAAATTTTTATACATACCTTCATTCTATAATTCATGTCCAAACAATCAAAGCCAATCTCACTTTACATATTTAATTGGCCCATTAATTTTATGAGGCACAATCTTACAACTTGCCCTACACCACTCTCTCTCCTATAAATACCCCATACATCCCCAAAAATTTTCCCACACTAAAGGTTAGTCTTATTTTCTCTCCTCTTTATTTTATTTTCTTATTTTCCTTTTATTTTTCTTTTTCCTTTTATTTTTCTTTTTCCTTTTATTTTCTTTTCTTTTCTTTCTTCTTTCTCCTTTCCTACGTGAGTTACTACTCCCTGTTGCTGCTCAGTCCGCCGCCCCTACCTGCCGGAAACCGGCGCAAACCACCGGCGGTTTGCCCAGCCACCGCCGACCACCAGCCGTGGCCATCCTTCCCCTTATTCCTCCTTTGTTTTTACTACTTGTTTAATTATAAATGTATTAGTTTTGGGTTTTGATTTTTGTAGTATAAAGATTATATTTTTAGTATCAAAATCATGTTTTTAATGTTTTAAACTAATAATTTCAGATTATAATTGTTGTTATAATTTTCAGATTTTATAATTTTAAAACCTAGGGTTTCAATTTATTTAAATTGGGATTTTAGGGCTCTAATGAGTAATTAATTTGGGGCTTTTATTCCTATTGTATTTCTATTGATTAATTAAGCATAAAAACATGTTTTTAATGAAGTTTTAAGGAGTTATAATCTAAATTATTATGCTGAAAATTTGGTTAAGTATTAATTTATTGTTGTCGCTTGTTTTCTAGGAAGTGATTATTTCTTAGGAGACTTTTAAGTGATTAAAAGTGGCACAAAGGATTGTTTATACGAGGTACGTACATGTCTACTTCGTTGTAAGTAGTATCATGTTTAGGTACCAAAGAAAAGAACTTAGTTTCATGATTAGAGAACTCTTGGATGAAAATTGTTTGGTTATACATTTATTAATTCATGTGCGTATGTTTATGAGACATGTTTTGGTGAATTAATAATGTTTGTATGGGATTATGGATGCAAACATGTTGAATTATATAGGATTAATTGTTTGTATGGAATGTTGATACAAGCATATTTTTATTGGATTGGTTTGTTAACCACATTTGGATTATTAAATGATTGGAATTGAATGGTTTAAGTGGAATGAATTTATTAATTATTCCACAAGGTTGTTATTTATTTTATTTATTACTCGAGCATGACTTGTTAGTATGTTGAGTAAAAGTGGATTAAGCCGAAATGGCTAGATGAGTTGACTATGTTCAACAATTTGGATAATTTGGAAGTTTAATGAAATTAAAGGTCAATTTGTGATGTGATCACCATTGTCCTAAATAAGATTAAAAGTAAATTGATGTATGATTTTTATGTATGGTCTATTTGATTGAGTCGGCTATTAATTAAAATTGTAATCACGTAATGTGAAACATGGATGAGCAATAAAACTCTAGAAAGCGTGCACTTCTAGAGTATTGACAATTATGGGTTGGGGTACACGGTGGTAGCCCGTGGCTTTCCGAGGCTTGTTTGATCAACATGTCCTCTTCTCTTTTGGTATTTACATTTTTATTTTATAATGAAAGTTAGATGGGATCCTAGACTAACTTTGTGAGAATGGAGCCGCGCCCATTCTTGCATCGCGCTAAACTTTTATTTTAAATGGTCATTTGGGAACAAAATGATTTGGTGGATTGGACAACCTCGTCTATTGCTTACTCCAAATTAAATTAATTAAATTAAATATAAAGAGTCGAGTGTTTGGAATTGATTAGCAAGTATGTTGAGTCGAGTGAATTGTTTAAGTGTGGAGTCTTGATTAATGAATTCGTGTTGTATGTTTATTTACTTTAATTAGTTGAGCATGCTAGGTTTGGTACGTTGTAACTTATATGTACTCAGCTTTGCTGATTGCGTGCTTTTGTGTGTCTTTCTTTGGTCATGGTCTTCGCCTTTCAATGACCCTGTGATGATCCAATTATTACACTTGTATTATTGGGGAGCAGTATTGCACATGTTAGCTTGATGATGTGAAGTTCGGTGATTTGACATACGCATTGTCAAGGGATTGGTGTGATTGAGAGTATTCGTTCTTTGTGTTGAATTTATTTATGTTTTACTACTTTAATTATGTTTGGGACTTTGATTATTGGTTTGGTTTTAATAAGGGCCTTTATGGTTCCAATTTGTAAGCTTTGACTTATTGGGTTTCTAAATTATATTATTTTAATATTTAAGTTGGATTTCCGCTGCAATACTTTGATAAAGCCTTAACGTTTTAACACGTGGCGGTAACATGCCAATGGTTCTCCTCTATTTTTATTTAAAGTAATTGGTTTGGAAAAGGGAGAATTATTGGGGTGTTACAACTGTGGAGACTGACCTTTTGAGTAACCCTAGTGAGATCGTTGCCCCGAGACTCATGAAAAAGTTGGCAGATATATATATTTCACGAAGGTCACTGCATCTGCGGATTCCACTTTCTCCTTATCTCCGCGTCAGGTTGCCTTATGGAAGTCCCGGCAGGGGGATCACTCTTTGGCCTGGTTGCGGACGGTCCCGATATCGGGTTTGGGACAGACTATGAATGGTAAGACTTACCGTAGTGTTCTTATCGATTGGGTGTTCCTTTATTCTCCGTTTCAACACCGTGTTCTGCTTGCTCAAGGGTTTTTTATGGAGATATTTATGGGGATCATGTAGTGTCTTGTGCTGGGATGGTAGGTATTAAGCATCGGCACAACGTTGTTCGTGACACCCTTGTTGATATTTGTTTTTGGTTCGGGATTTCTGCTCGAAAGGAGGTTAACGTTAGGTTAACTGGTGGGAACAACGGGGCGCTATGACCAGCAGATGTGTTGCTTTATTCATGGGATGGAGGTCGTGATGTATGTGTCGACTTGACGGGGTCTTCACCTTTGACACAATTGGGGTTGTCTAACTTCGTTCCTGGTCATGTTGTGTCGGCGGCAGCTCAGCGGAAGCGGGACAAATATGGGGCACGTTGCAGGGCTATTGGCTATGGTTTTATTCCTTTCTCCTTTTCTTCGTTAGGGGAATTAGATAAGGATGCTATTGCGTTGCTGAAACGGGTTCAAGCGTTCGTTAAGACACAGGATATTGGTGCTCGTGCAGCTGCTCACATCTTCAATAGGATTGAGTTCGCTATAGCTAGAGGGGTGGGGGCCCAGATTGTATCTCGGCTCCCTACCAATTTTTTGTAAATTGATTGGATTTATAGGTTTTAACGATAATAATAATAATAATAATAATAATAATAATAATAATAATAATAATAATAATAATAATAATAATAATAATAATAATAATAATAATAATAATAATAATAATAATAATAATAATAATATTGTAAAATTGGAGGGAGTAATTAGCTTTAAAAACTTATGCAATAGACAGCCGAGTTAGCAGTATCTTATGCAACAGACAATTAGCTCGCCAGTTGTTCTTAGCGACGGTTGCTCTTAGCGAATTAGCGGTATCTCTCTATGAAAACCTCGCTGTGAGTCTGTGACAACAATGGCGGCAATCCGAAGAAGTCGTCCTCCTCCTCACTTCTTCTCCACCCTTCCATGGTACTCTCCACCACCACCACTTATTAGCAACCCCATAATCTCAACAATCTCAACCGCCATTAAATCCGGCAATGAAAAACCTCTCAAACGCCTCCTTCCTTCCATTAAACCCCACCATATCAAAGAACTCGTCAATGTCAATCCTCTCAAATTATCCCCACTTTCTCTCTTCAATTTCTTCAATTGGGTTTCTTCTCAATCTGGTGTTCGTCTTACTCTTCACTGTTACTGTAGTATGGCTCATTTCCTTGCTGCTCACAACCTCTTCTGTGAATTGGCCTGCATTTTTCGGGTCATCGTATCTCGAAAAGGTAAGGATTCTGCTGTTTCGGTTTTTGGTGTTGTTCTTGAAACTAAATCTGCCTTTCATAGTAGTAATTTTGTGTATGGTGCGCTTATGAGTGCTTATTTAGAGTTGGGTTTTGTTTCTGATTGTATTCAATGCTTTCGGTTGATTAAGAAGCATGGAATTTCATTACCTTTGAGACCATGTGCTCGTTTGTTTGATCATTTGTTGAAGACTAAATCAGCTGAGACAGCTTTAGGGTTTTACAAGGAATTTTCGGATTATGGGTTTCCTCCCAATGTGATTGATTTTAACATATTGATGAATAAATTTTGTAGAGATGGTAAAATTAGGGATGCTCAAATGGTGTTTTGTGAGCTTGGGAAGCGTCGATTGAAGCCTACGATTGTTAGTTTTAATACTTTGATTAAAGGGTATTGTAAAGTTGGCGAGTTGGAGGAAGGTTTCCGGCTGAAGGGGGTTATGGAGGATGAGAATGTATCGCCTGATATCTTTACGTTTAGTGCTTTGATTAACGGATTGTGCAAGGTTGGTAGGTTGGAAGATGCCAATGGTTTGTTTGAGGAGATGTGTGAGAGAGGATTGGCCCAGAACGATGTCATTTACACTACTTTAATCAGTGGGCATTGTAGGTATGGTAAGGTAATTACAGGTTTGGAGTTGTATGGGCAACTGTTAAAGAAAGGCTTTGAGCCTGACTTATTTGTGTATAACACACTGGTTTATGGCCTTTGCAAAGACGGTGACTTGAGACAAGCAAGAAAGCTTGTGGATGAGATGTCTCTTCGAGGTTTAAAACCTGACAGGATCACTTATACTACACTTATTGATGGAAGCTGCAAAGAAGGTGATATTGAGATGGCTATGGACATTAAACATAAAATGGTCAGAGAAGGGATTAGCCTTGATGATGTAACTTATACCGCTCTTATTTCTGGGCTATGCAGGCAGGGCCTTGTTTTGGATGCTGAAAAAACTCTTCGAGAAATGATGAGAGCAGGTTTTAAAGCTGATAATATCACATATACTATGGTCATTGATAGGTTTTGTAAGGCCGGAGATGTGAAGATGGGTTTTAATCTACTCAAAGAAATGCAAAACAATGGCCTTGTTCCTGGGGTTGTGACCTATAATGTTCTGATGAATGGGTTATGCAAGCAAGGACAGATTAAGAATGCTAATATGCTCCTGGATGCAATGCTTAATTTAGGAGTGCCACCCGATGATATTACTTACAATATCCTCTTAGAAGGTCGTAGCAAACATGGAAATCCAAAAGAATTTGCTGAATTGCAAAATGAGAAGGGGCTTGTTAACAATTATGGTTCTTATGCATCTTTAATAAATGAAATTTCTAGATCATCAAAAGATTATGAAAAGAGATGATTGGTACTCACAGTGAACTATAGAAGTTTTTCTATGGCTGTTGTCATCTTGCTGATGTGACCCTCGTTTTTGTTATGGGAGTAGATCAGAACAGTGATAACGTATCTCTTTGGCATACAATGTGAAACCTTACAACATCATATCATTATGGTACTTTTGGCTTGGTTGACTACATCAAATTATTTTTTATTGTCAGATTGAAAGGCATACATCTTAACTCTCTATTGCAATACTTGGCGGTAAGCTCTTTGAACCTTTGATTCTAGATTCTTTAGTGACTTTTCTTTTCATGATATTTATGAATATTGATTGCTAAGAACATATAAGTTCAAATATTTTTGGATTGACGGAGAACAAATGTGGTGGTTAGCTGTTCAACAAGATGTTTTGTTGGTTTATTTATTTTGTTGTGAGAATATCTATGGCGGTAAGAAAATTAAATACATGGAAAACTCTTTTCCTGCACCTTAAATCAAATAAATCAAATGTGTTTAATGAACAACTAATTCTCTGTGACACCAGTCCATGCTAATCATTTTAATCTTCTTGATGCTGTTTGATCTTGCCTCAAAATCTTCACAACTGTATTAAGCATCTGACAGCTTAAAATGCTCTTATTATGCAATTTTCTGTGGAGTTGAATTCATGTAAATTGTAACCTATATAATCACGCCAACATAAAGTAAGTTGAGATTTCTCATGACATGTCTTGCTGAAATGTTGTACCTTATGCATCTGTCTTGAACAGCTTTGATTGGCAGTTTCTATAGGAAACTGTTAGTTGTATCATTGTATGTAGCGTTTGAGCCGCTTTGATCATTATCTTCTATTTTTAGAAGCTTTGCAAGAAAATGGTGTTAAGATCTGGTGATGTCATCAGTCTTTAACCTCATTTCATGCTTGTGCACTCTACTCCCTGGAAATCTAAAAGGCTAATGTAGTTTTTCTATTATTTGACTGACCTCCTGCAAGTATGTAACACCAGAGATCTGCTCTGTTATCAGATTGTAAACTAACCTTGTATTTTTATTTTGTGTCAAGAAAGTAGCTCGTCAGAAGAAAGCAATGGATTGTCAGGGTGCAGTCTCTATGATATGTGACTTCTTATGTATGTCACTTTACGTCCTTTTTCAATGGTGGAGGGAACCAGGATCAAGAGTTTATTACCTTAAATCATAACAGTAAACACACTGGCCATGCCCTGCTCAAATATCTTTGCTTTTGTCCCTTTGTAATTTTGCATACTTCGTCTGTATGGTGTGTATAAGTACCAACAAATTTTTTGTCCTTGTCTTGCAAACCTCTATTTTGCAATGTTCATGTCCACATTGGGAAGAAATATAGCGACCTATAAAGGCTGTATACTTCATACAAATTGATAGATTTTGTGACTTGCACTCTGCCAATCTGGGTTATGCAGGGAAAATGAAAGGACAAAATGGATGATCTGAATATCAGGGTTCAAAGGAAATCGCTGGCCAAGAGTTATCTAAAAGGATGGATTCACTACAGATGTATCTTGGTTACATATTGATACTTTTTAGAAAGGATGATAGCAGTACATTGGATTTTTTATTAGATTCAACGCTGGTTCTCCTGCTGCAACAGAGCTAGAAAGTATCAGAGAGGTGGCTGATTCAGGCATATTACTCATAAATTTTGCTGAAAATATCTTAAAGAGCTGTTGAGCAAACCTTGAGAGCATAAATGTCCTAATTTTTCTGTTATCCAGAATGGAGCAAATTTTATGGGACTTTTGTTGTCATCCTTATAATGCTAGATGATCAGTAAATTAAGTAGCTCATTGCCTAGCAGACGACAGGGCTAGGATATGGATGAAAGGAAGAAGCCGCACTTACTCTCTTCAGTTTATTTCAGTAGCTAATAATTTGTTCTTGTTGGAGATTTTCAATGTTTGTTTACTTATTAATAATTTTTTTTTTTTTTTGAAACATATAACTAAATATTTTTAATTGTATTTTAATTAAATCAATGAAAATTATATATTTGAAAAATACACACATAAAAATTAATATGATCTCACTTTACATTGTTCTAAAAATAGAGAAAATATAAGTTTATCACCTTAATTAATAAATTTTGTTTGTCAAATGGTAAAACTGTAATTAATTATTAACTTTGTATCAAATATGGGGCATTTAGTTGGTATAATTACAACATTGTCATGATAACTAGACAATTGATTGATTGATTTGCCACCTTTATAAACTTTTTTTTTTTCAAATAAATATACCAACGCTTGTCAAAACAAAAAATAAAATGTAATTTTAAAAATATATGTTTATTTACTACTTTAATAAACTAGAATATCTCCTTCAAATTCACGCCCAGTCCATGTTTCCACATATTTCCACTATCCACTAATCATAAAGTTTTTCACCAACATAAATTCATGGAAAACATCAATCAAACAATTCTAGAGTTTCAATTCTGTCATAGCTTAAGCGTTGGTCTTACTAGGCTTAGACAAGATTAGTTGAAGTTCGGAATAGGAGTAAATTCTTGAAATGTATTAGAGTCCTCGGTGAATATAAAATCTTTTCCAAATACCATTTAGCGACGAATGTAATCCCTCAATTAGGTTTTAATTATTGATGTTTCTGTTGTTTGTGTAAAATTGCTTCTTGAAGTATGCCATACAAATATTGAAAATGCCCTAGATTAATTAAGCACAAAAAGAGATGTAATTTATTTTTCGGCCTTGACGCAAATTTTTAAAATATCATTGAAGAAATACAACATATAAAGTAAATTGTTAGTAGCTGACAACAGCCCGCATACTAGGGTAAATTACAGAAATTACAAACTAAATACCAAAATGCTGTCACTTGAGACAATTTTTCATCACTGCAGTCCAGCTATCATAGAATCATGTGATATGTAATGCTGAAATGCCCAGGGCTTACAAGAAAACTAGCCCTGACTAATATTATTGCAAAGATTGGAAATAAATTTACTTCTTCAACAACTGTGAAGAGCACTGAGCCATAATCTTCGATGCCCGAGTAATAGCATCGGTCATATAGAAATTTTCAATTGCTGCCTTGAAAGGAGCTGGGTCAATTTCCTTCTTAACTTCAGGCTTTATCAAGGTTGAGTAAGTAGCTGGTTCTCGTTCTTCCATGCTCAATAAATTTGGTGCCACAGTCCTCATCCGTTCTCGGATATCAATAAGGGAATCATATGGCAGACTTATTCCAGCAGTCTCGGACAAAGCCCTAATTATCTTCCAGTCATCCCTGGCATCACCAACAGTAGGAACTGCTGGTAAAGTTTGCTGAGTGCGTCCTTCTGTATTAGCATAAGTACCTTCCTTTTCAGAAAATGCTGATGCAGGTAAAATGACATTGGCACGATATACACTCTGATCACCATGGTGACCCTGATATACCACAAAGGCATCACTAGGGACTTTGTCCAAGTTGATATCATCTGCACCCATCAGATACAAAAACTTTGCAGACTCAATACTTTTGTCAGACTCTGGCACAAGACCAAGGTCAAGGGCAGCAGCTTGAGCAGCATTCAAGAGCAATACATTAAGACCATTCCAGTCTGGTCTAATGACATTTGCTGACTTTGCAATGGTTTCGACAATAGAAAGGATAGCATCCTTGTCCTCTCTCTCAAAGAGCCCAGCGCCAACAACAATAGCTGGCTTCTTAGCATTTTTTAAGGCTGAGAAAAATGAGTGACTGCCTTTGGCAAGTTCTTGCAGGGTTTGTGGACCGGTGCCTAGATGTTCGTGGTCATAGTTGAACTCTGCAGCAGGTCCAATATAACCAACCTTGGCATGGTTTGCCCGTACAGCTTTCCGAATTCTGGCATTTACCATGGTAGCTTCAACTCTTGGCTGGGAACATTAATCCCGAGGCAATGTGAGTAAATTCTTAACAATCAAAGGTAAATAAAGAGCAATTACCGATAAAAATCAAGTTAGAGATTAATATATATTTTCAGATCAAGTCATATCTAGACCAGTAAATTTTTTGGAATACATATATTGATTAGCAAGATTCATGTTGAACTGTTCAAATCCATGTTGTCTTGAGGATTTGACATGGGTACTTGAGAAAAGAAGAGTTAGTACAGATTGCTCTGACCATTAGAAGAAACCAAAATTCTTACTGTGGTACCACTATCCTGGCCAGAGGAAGTAGAAATTTCAACTCCTATATATTTCCACTTGATAATATATAATAACCCAAAAATAAATTCATGATGTTAATATGATTTCGTTCTGGTTGAATTTAGTTAATATGATATTGTTGGTGATAAATGGGTCATTCACTGATTCGCATAATTAACAATGGGGTTTTGATGTTTAAACTACAATTGGAACCTGTTTAAATCTTGGAATTTCAAAGAAGCAAAAGCCTATGACTTATTTACTTCAAATGAGATGGACACTAGATTTCACCGATGGGACATGTAGACCAATCTAGACTTCTAGAGCAATGTCTCGGACAAAAAATCCCAAACCACATTTTTTTTTTTTGGTTTTGTCATAGATTATGAAAGATCACAACTCATTATTATTTGGTAATTATTTCATTGTGGAAAAGATTAGCCAAACAGAAATATGCTAAACCTTGAAGGTCACAGGTACCTCAATGATACATAACTAAAAATATTAAAGCAATAGTCAAAATTTCCCCTCCAACCACAGGGCTAATTATAAAAACACCCCACCCCAACCACAACCCCTTTTTTCCCTATAATTTTGCACTCAAACACCATTTTTTGATTACTATCAGGTTAAATACATTGCGTGAATTTAGTAGATATCAACCCTAATCTCATCTCTCTCCTTCCTATCCTTCTCCCTTAAGCCCATCCTACCATAACCTCACCAGTAAAACCAGCAAAAGCTCATCCACTACCCACCTACCACCAAGCACCTTTCTTCTAGTCTTCCTCTATTCCACCGCCTCCCCTGAATGCTCTTTCCCTCCAGGTCATCGTCATTCTTGCCGGTGAAAGTCCAGAAAACCACCATCCACGACTACCATAATCGCACCACCAGCTCTATAGGCTTTTTTTTTTTTGTGGCAAGTAATTTGGTTCCGTTTTACTCACCCATCTCTCTCATCTTTGGGATCAATGGTGGTTGACAGAATGACAGCGATGGTGACGATGAGGGTCAGAGAGAGGAGCATCATGTAAGGAAGGTTGTCATGTGGGTATATCGGTTGTGATAGTGGGACGGTGTGCTGGCCGGTGGTTATGATTGCGGAAAGGGGTGTGATTGGCGCCTTAGCAGTGGTTCGGGTGGGAGTAGTGGGTCTGAGTGTGGTTGCAGTGGGTATTGTGCGTCTGGTTGTAGTTGTGGAGAAGAAGGGGTGAGGTGTGAGAAGAGGAAGTAAGGGTAGGAATGACATTTTACCACTCAAACATTAACAAAATTAGTAACATTACAAGTAATTTGACATTTCCTTAAAAGGAAAGCGCTGCGAGGAGAGGAATTATAAATATGCGAGGATTGGTGTGGGTCAGTTTTATAACTTCTCCAAGACACACACACACAAATGACACAATGCCATTTTATTAAATACTAATAGCCCTGACAATTGAAGTTCAGGGGCAAAAAAAAAAAAAAAAAAGAAAATAATCACATACCTGGGTGCCAATGAGAAGGAAGACATCTGCATTTTCAAGATCAGCAATGCCAGTGTTCAAAAGATATCCAGAACGAAGATCGGCTTGTGGCTGCCCACCATTTCCTTCACACCAGACATTATTTGATCCCATCTTGTTCATGAAATCCTTCAATGCCATCATGGACTCTGCATCAGACAATTTACCAGCAACACCCACAATTTCTTCTGGTTTAACCTTGTGCATAACCTCAGCAATCACATCAAGGGCATCACGCCAACTGACAGCTTTAAAACGTCCATCTGACCCACGGATCATAGGGTCATTTAACCTTTGCCTCTTTAGACCATCATAGCAGAATCGTGTTTTATCTGAAATCCATTCTTCATTGACGTCCTGCATAATTGTGGTACATGGTCACAACACAACCACATAGGTGAATACTATGAGCAAAAGTGGGATTTAAAAAAATCCTCAAACTTTGTGGAGGTAGTTTTCAACAGGCCCTCACATTCAAATAAAACATTACAGGACCAGTACAGGATGGTCAGGACCTACTAACAAATAATAAAAAAATAAAATAAAAAAATAAAAATATTATGCCGAAGGATACAGGGGTAAGCTCCATTTATGTGCTAACCAGTTTGTCTGCTAAACTATGGTGAACATTCTAAAAGTTTTGGTACACATCACTTAACCACATGATTAAAAAAAATAAAAAAAAAAAAAAAAAAGGAAAGAGCAAATCAAAAGAGGACCAGGAATCCTCTCATACATCTAAGAATAATAAATAATGCATGCTGAAAACACTATATAAAACAATTGAAGCCCCTCATAAGGGCCCTTGTTCACTAACATCAAATGGAAACAAGATAGACCGAGACCAAGACAAGTGGAAAAACAGTATAGTGATATACAATCAAAAGTACCTCATTGAGTCGTGGAATGATACGCATCACTTCTGGTCCTCTACTATCAATCCGTATGTTCGACCCAACAGCATCAGTGACATCAATACTCTCAGTTGGCTTTAACTCCCAATTCCGGGCCTTAAATGCAAAAGGTTTTGAAGTAAGGGCTCCAACAGGGCAAATATCAATCACGTTGCCAGACAACTCACTTGTCATAAGCTTTTCAACATAAGTCCCAATTTCCTCACCACTACCACGGCCTAACATGCCAAGATCCTCAGTTCCAGCTACCTCACTGGCAAATCTGACACATCTGTTCAACATATCCAATGTACGATGAGAATAAGCCACATGCCAAATAGCTTGTATTTGAAGACAATGAAGACAGGGTTAAGGTTGCCCAGTTTCATGCATTTC